TTTGTAGTGGTCAACAGAGCTATGTGAAGCTAACTGAGCATCAGGACAACTGTATCTCTCCTCTTTAAGATTATAACAGCGTAAATTTCAATCCATATATTTTCCCATTGTTCCATCTGTATATTATTACCACAATTTTTAGCCCACTTTATCATACATTCTTTCATGTGTTCTTCTTCTGTTTCAAATTTCAATAAAACTTTATATATTTTAGCAATTACATGTTCATCATTTGTACACAATTCTATTTCAAATTCAATCTTACAATATGCAAAACCATAAATTCTTTTGTCTACTTTAAATCTTCCTAGTAATTGTAAATAAGAGAACCATTGACAGCTATATCCCTCTGCCACCAGCACTTCTCATGATTTTATTTTACATTCCCTTTGACAAAATTATAACATCTTGTGATAAGTTAGCCATTTGTGTTTGCTTATTGTTTCTTGTCTATAAAATGCTTCTTGTGCTGAGAGCCACAAGGATGTTTGTAAGCACAACCTGGGTTTGTATCTATTCCATACTCTCAATATGGCACGTCTAACATAATGATTTTTAAGATCCACATTAAGGTTGACTCAACTGTTCATAGTTACAACAGTGATAAAAAAGTAACTCTGCATCCAGTTCTCACATTTACAACCTTTGCAGGTCTGTAAAGCAAAGGAAAGCCGAAGTAAGATCGTAAGGACAGTTGTGGTTTCATTTAGCAACAACTTTACTTATGACCGAGTCGCTGGTCCCAATTGTGGTCTCTAAGCAAGGACTACCTATACATTCCAATGTCCATGTACTTAGCCCTTTCATATCCATTTGAATTCGAGAAAATGGTATCTACGTGACTATGAACTCTAAGCACAAAGAACCTATTGTCTTGCTGTTCACTAGCCCCACCTGTTTTTTATAAAATATACTTTAAGTGAAAAATTGAAAAGTGTATAGAAAGTGGAAGGGATGTCAAACATACTATGTTTTTTTTTTTAATAATTTTATTTTTTACAACAAACACAAACAAACAATAGCATAAAAAACATAAAAACCATCTTTCATTTTAAACCGTGTGTCAGCCAGTTACCAATCATTTGTGCCATCCTTTCATAGTCTTCAC